AGTCACTAAAGTCGAGTGCACCCTAGAAGGTGTACTTGAATTGGTCCATATTTATATTTGTTCTAACCAATATTTTGATATATAAACTTGTCCTAAGGAAATCATTGCTAGCACTGCATGCAATATTCCTCTATCTATCAGGCATAGAATGGTCAAATATTAGATTACAAGGGAAAGGCTAGATTTTATTTAAAATTACATGTTTAGCATTGAAACAACAAAAGGATACTTAATTTTTAAAGAGCTCTAATTAAGAGCTCATGTTCCTTGCTATTAATATTTATATATGCAACCCGACTTTAAATAAAGATTACTTTACTATACTTTACTTTAAAGACTTTGAGACAAACTTGTCATATAATCAGAAATGTTATTTCAAACAAAGCTGTCCAGTCTTTTGTTTTTTATGGTCATCATCATGGATTAAAAAAAATCTGAGTAAATACTTAAAAGTTAATCACTTTAAATTTGGTTGCCTTTATGAAAGGATCAAAAATGCTTACCATGTGCAGTATACAAAGATTTAATATTGACCTGGCAGCAGTGACAATTAAACAATGACTGAGAGCACAACATGGTACATTTTTGTAAAAAATATACATGACTATATCATTGTATATCAAGCAGTGTAAATTATAATTTAAGAACTTAAATAGTTCTCGTTTAACTTTTTTTTTTTTTATCTCATTGTTTGTATTGTATTATGAAAAATTATTGATGTTGTAATGTTTATGCCCTTTGGGGCCCATAATTGAAAATAAAATATCTTATCTTATCTTATCTTATCTTATAATAAAATCTAGGATGATATTCACTTACATTCTGCCAACACTAAAAGTAGGAACTATTTCTAGGACTATCGTGACTGTGTGGTAAACAATTTGTGAGGAGGTGGTGTTTGATTAGCATATCAATAGAACAACAACAATGTCAACATGCAACTGCAAACTCGTTATTTTGTTGATTGATTTTATTTTTGTCATTCAATATTGATTATTATAACTTTGTCAATCATTTGTAATGGATATAATGTCAAATAATCGAATAGTTTATCTTTTTATGTCATATTCTTGAAAAAAGTTGAAATCGCAAGTACCTTGCGATTTCCTTTCGATATTTTTCAATAGCACAACTTTTTGGCCGTCTGGTTTCAAGAGTTTTTACAGTGCGATTATTATTGTCATTTAGATAGATCAAAAGACCATGTTATGAAATATTATGTGGCAGACTTACGTGTCATTCTGATATGTACGATCCGCTAAATCAACCTTTTTGTAAACACAAAACTTGATCTTCCCCGCATAAAAATGGCGTTTGCATTATAGTAAGGAGTTGTTTCCCCTTACTGGCATTTGTATTTTCTGTCTACATGGGAGATAACCAAGAAAAGGTGTGAAGAATAACCATAAAAAATGTTTTATTTTTACAGCTTGGGAAGTACCATATTGTCAGTGAGTCACTTTATAAAAAAAAACTGAAATTATTGCCGTATTTACACCACAAATTTCACTCTGAGTACAGACAATCTTGTAAATACCAATCAATCAATCGCCTAGATCAATATAATTTCACTTTTTTTATGCATTTGAAGTTTCTAAATATTAAATTAAAAACTTAACTGGGTTTTGCTTTTCATTTTTTTTTTTTTGCATTCCTACCTGCATATAAACTAAGTTGAGAATCAAAAAGATGCATATCCAGGATTTTGAAAAGGGAGGCAAAACTAGGCAACGTTTGGAGTTTCTTAATATTAAAATAAACATTTTCGGCTACAGTTAGCGGCAAATTGGTTAACATTTCAAGTTATCATGAGAAATTCGTCAACATATCCTGATCGTGATTCTTCAGAGGTCTGAAATAATTATCCATTATCGTAATTTTTGGAAAGAATTTAACGTGAGTCGTCAAACTAGATGATCAGTCGATTTTTTATCGTCTTAAAGAAAATGTACATTTTATCGTCATGCATCAGATATTACCGTTACCGTCATTGGCAAGATTTTTTTTTACCGTTATTCGCCATGAAGGTACCCCCATTAAGACCCTCTTATAGATAGCCCCATGAGGGACCGTATCAAATGAAACTCAGTTGTTTGTTTATTTTGCTATCTTCTGCAGACCAAAATCCAGGTAGGTTTTTAATTTCTGAAACATAAAACGCATATAACTTTTATGTGTATAGATCCAGCCATGCTTAAGGGTTCATGTGGACCCATTGGCTAAACGATTTGCTGCGTTTTCACCTCAAAATTTATTCTTCGTACAGACTCAAGTGTGCATCTGGAAAAGTTTTAAGACATAGCATGTCCTAGAATAAATAAAAGTCAAATGCATTTTATTTTTTACAAAATTTAAAAAATGTACTCAGAGTAAATTTTTAGGTGAAAATGCAGCCATTTTAGACAAAGGGTCCACATGAGCGTTAACACTTTCCTGTATGCTTAGTTTTGTCTGTACTCAGAGTAACCACAGCCGTATTTGTAAAATAGTTTTCAAGATGGCAATTGATTGAACAGTAGTGTTGTTTTTGCGTATCGGAAAAGGTTCAATTCACAATGTCATGAATAATGAGTGTTTGTCCCTCAACCCGTGGTAACCCTCCGGATTTCTTTTTTTTTTTTACTATGTAGATTGTGTAATTCTAACTTTAAATATTTTTATATAACATGTTAGTCCTAATTACTGGTGCAAATGGATTAAACTGTTAAAAGCAATGTGCTAGTATATAAATTAAGTAAGTAATTCTTATTTAGAGTCGGCAATATGAACACTGGTTTAATAATACATTTGAATAAGAAGCCAAGTGCACATTTCAGTTAGAATTGACAGAAGAAAGTGTCAATGCGTACTTGCACCGGAGAATTTAACAATGGGACTGACATTAGAAATGATAAAAGGGTGACTGGGGAGGGGACTGGGGAATAGAAATATGTTCACTCTTGATCTTCTTCCGACCGAATTAAAACCCTTGCCAAAATTTTGCGTCCGTTTGCCTGTGCGGGATGTACAAGAACGCAGCCTCTTCAGGTCAGAATGGAGGGGATGGATAGGTGTCCTGTTGCACGGCATCATTTCTGTACCTATATGATATACCCTCATTTCCCAGTGGCAATCAAAATTTCCCCGACCTTCTTTCTGGACGGCCTCCATTGCAGAACCCTACAATTGTATTTATTAGAAAGTTGTTATCATCCTGAACCCGCATGAAATATTTGTCATTGGATGTTTATCAACCAACAATCAATCGAATGGATGGATTTCTGGTTGGCTGTTAATTGCGTGTTGCAATAAAGCGAATGCAAAATCCTTAAACACGTTGTAAATTCCGATAATTTTTCAAAAGTGATTTTATCCCTACAGCTCACAGGAAACAGAAAAATTACCAATAAGATCTTTATTTCAATTCTATAAGGTGTCAATGTGTCCATATTGACCTTCGCTTTTTTTCATTCTTTTAAAGTCCACATTAACGACTCTGTCAAGATGTTCCACCTGTCTCACCGTATGGGAGCGACATCGGATATTGGTACTAGCTAAAGCGGAGAGAGGTTGTAAAAGTGTGTAATCACACAAGTAAGAATTGCATTTTTAAAGATTTATATAATGATATGTTGGGAATTGTCCTGTTCTCCAGATCATTTAGGAATGTTAGACATCATCGTAAATTAAATCTGGAGATAAAAAAATTCTACACTCTAGTACCGGACAAAACATTAATTGAAAATCATCTTCGACATATGAAGTGCTACACAACTGTTACAAAGTTTTTAGAAAGTATGATTTGTCATATCGTATGTAGGACAAGCTTAATCAGCCACTTATTTTGATCGTCTGGTTGTCGATATTCAAAGTATACAAAACTGATCCCCCGAAACAGAATATTGAAGAACGCGTATTACCATTTGCCGCAAATTCTCTCATGTTTTGTTCCAATATTTAATTCTACGATACAAGCCTCAGCCTTTCTCCTTGTTTTTCATTATCCACAGACGTATTGGACATGAACTATGTACCTTTTTTTTATTTCTGTATTACAGATTGCTCTTCCCCTTTTTGACAAAGAAATGTATCTTCTTTCAGAGGTCTGCATTTATCAGATATAGATGTACACATGCTATAGCAATCATTGAAAAAATTCTAATAAAATTCAATCAGATTGAGAAAAAATTATACTATAAATGAAATTGTTTCTAATGTAGTGTTACTAAAGAGCATACTGCAAATATATATTATTTTATATGGTATACGGGTCTGGATTGGGGATCCTTCATTTCTGTAATTTCTTTAATTCTTTAGGTAATTTTTCTCTATTTTTTTCTTACATTTTTTTTTAACCCTGTTATTTTCTTTTCCTTATTTTGTGGCCGACTTTTCTCTATTATTTATTGTTTTGGCCCATTTTTTTCTGCAGTATTGGCCCTTATTCTCTATTCTGTAAACCCCATCCAGATACTCTAGTACATGTAGCATACATGTCATGTGTTTTTCAGAAAACAGATCACATACGTACAATTAATATTATTCCAATTACAACCCCGTGGTACGATAAATTCAAATCTTTGAAATAAAACAAACCAAGTTATAAACAAAACAATAATTACATGAAAACATCTACACACAACAAACCGAGCACAACAATTTATCGGAGTCATGCACTCAATGATAAACGTCAAGGTTGTGGATAATGTTAACAATGGTTAATGCTGTACATTTTTATAGATCTGTATTTGGAAATTGGAAAGTTTGTTAAAAATTAAGTGAGTTCCAATATGTAAGTATTATATAATTATGTATTCAGGCATACAGTGATACATATATATACATATTTATCACTGAAAATACATGTTGATCGATTGATAAACATAACCAACAATGTTCATGCAATATTGATCTGTTCTAAAATTGTTGCACATTGTGTACCGAGGCGCATACAGGGGTTTCGAAAAGGCACACACAATTTGATTTCACGTCATTTAATTCGCATAATGTCTTAAACTTACGTTTGTTCCCTTTCTTTTCTTTCCTTATTTGTACTCTGCTTGTTCGCTTTTGTCCCCGCATAACCATGGTAACATATGTACCATGTGTACCCGTACAAAGTCGAGCACGCAAAATATTGTGTTTTCATATACCTTGAACATGTTGAACAATGCTTTATATATATACATCGACATACGATTTAAAAAATATCATTTTCAGAAAACTTAACATATCATTAAACTAATCAGCTAGTAAAATGACCTGAATATTTGTAAACAAATAACGTACATAAATAATTATGCCTAATCTGATAATCATAGATCCATATCAGGAAAAGTTAAAATCCTAGGTGTACATCTGTATATTTCTATATCTACAGACACATAACTCGTGTTCATGTTCATGTTTCCTATATAGTTTATAACAATGATAAAGTTGCTATATATATTTGTTTGTTGAAGGACGGCATGATTTCTGATCAGCAGTTTAAGGATGTTTGCTTCTCTCATTTTTGACTTTTTGCCAGATATTCGAAATCCTCTAGTTTCATCCACAATTAGCCAATACAAATTTCGCTTACACCTACATTTCTTTTCATAATTTTATTACATATCGTTTAAAAAGCTATTTTTCAAAATCTTATAAAATTCTTGTTATTTTTCAAAGTTTTGAAACAACAAATGTACCACTGTTAAATGTAGGAAAACTATAGAGAGTTTCTTTTCCCGCCAAATTTTCAATGGCTTAAATATCTCAAAAACAATGAGACGGACCTTTCATTTTTTCCTGCTTTTTTAAATTTTCTTTTTTATATACTATTAATTTATAACTATACTTTAAAAAGCTTGTTATTTTGAAACAGAGTAGCGAACACCATTAACTGCGATAATTCGTTTTTATTGTTCGAGTAGGAATCTGATGTTCAGTAGTTGTCGTATGTTGATGTGGTTCATAAGTGTTTCTCGTTTTTTATATAGATTAGACCGTTGGTTTTCCCGTTTGAATGGTTTTACACTTAATAATATATATTTTGTGTTTGCCAAAATTTAAGTTTTAGTGTATTTGATTTTTGTTTTCTTTCAACCCTGTATATGATGATTAAAAAAAACGCATGCTTTACATCAAATACTGCTGTGCCGATATATAGTGACACAGACACTTGTCTCTAAATTAAATATCTAAATTTGAGAATGAAAACGGGGAATGCTTCAAAGAGACAACAATCCGACCAAAGAGCAGAAAACAGACCAAGACCAACACAGGGAGAAAATCCCGCATCCGGAGGCGGGCTTCAACTGCATGCTTTAATATAACACAAGGTTACCCAACTCACAATTAATGTATTTGAGAAATGACATTCGGTCGTGAACTTCCGTTACATTTCGATTTTGCGGTTTTCCGTCCCACTAAAACTTGTTATGTTGTAAATCTACATCAAATTATCTTCGCAAAGGTGTACATCATGCCTATATCTGCTGTCGGAATTATTCGAAGCTTACACTGCCTTGGGTGGCATTCTTCCTGCAGACACTGTGTCTGTCTTTACTACATGTACAGCAGAGAATAACTTTAGGACAAACAATCAACGATACGCCATTAACACCCCAATTCACCAAATATCAAACAACATCATGATATTATTTACGAAAATTACTAACGAGGCTCCTGACTTAGAACAGGCACATCAAAATGTGACCAGGTTATATAAAGTTTTTGAGACTGTAACCCTTCTATTTGTAATCTCCATCATTAGATTAAGCGCGGTAAATCTTTATCCGAGCACTTTGTGTATGTCCAAATGGCGTTAGCCGATTCGGTGTTCCTAATGTACTCCATGTCATTATTCTATATGATTCATCATGTTCATGCAAAATTACATTCTTTTGAGAAAAGGATTGCTGTATCTTTTAGAAATTTAACCCTATTTGCATAGAAGTGTTATCATTTATCAGCAAAAAGCTCAGATTTTTGCAATCAAACCAGAAAAAGATAGTACAGGAATTCATACACATTCCTGGCTATTTTGATAATACTGAAATCCCTCTTATTTGTTATGTTTACAAAAAACCTACCCGGAAATATGTGTTTAACTATAGCCAAGCGTGTAAAGATGTAAATATCAGTGACAATACACCTACGTCATGAAATTGCAGTAATTCCGAATACATTTATGGCCCCAGTTTCCATGTTATAACAAGAGGCCTTAACATCGTTCGTGACCGAGAGTTGAAATTATTCCTCAGAAAAGGACCTAAATATCGTTCCCGTCAATTATTAATTTGCATGAATATCGTGACATCATTCACGACTCACTCCGTACTTACTGCTCAAAATGGATAAAACGAGAAAAAACTGACAAGAAATCCTTAGATTCTTTTTTAATTCAGTAATGAACATATATAGTTGATATACGTATACAAGATTTTAGGGAACATTTTACTCCTAACAACAACCATAATAACCCTATTTCTCGTATCAAACATAAGCTAAAAGAACTCGCAAAGGAACTTGTTTTTGTCCCGGCTGATAAGGCTGCTAATGATATAATTATAGTTTGACGTAAATTTTACATTGAGGTTCTGCAAAAGGAAATCACGAATTCACCAACATTCCAACTGACTCCATTTTCGGAAAATGACATCTGTAACAAACATAAACTTTTAGCTACTTCTTTACAAGCAGAATCAAATACAATGAAAGTTCCAACTATGTACTGGTTTCCGAAGCTGCACAAACAGATTTATTTCGTCTTCAAGCCATTGTTCCACGACTAAACTGTCTATTCTACTTACTAGTACACTTGGTACAATCAAAAACCTGGTAATAAATTGTTTAAATAAGGCCTTTGAAAATAGTAGAATAAATTACTTTTGGGGTGTCAAAAATTTTTTGGAAGTACCTAATAATATACATGCTTATATTTGTGATTTTGAATCTGTTCAAAGTTTTGATTTTTCTACCCTATATACCACTTTGCCTCATATTCTTATTAAGAAAAAATTCACAAACCTAATTAAATTGGCATTTAAAAAGTCAGAATGCGAATATATATGTTCAAACTCTTTTAGGTCATTTTTTAGTAACAACAAACAAAAGCACTATGTAGATTGGACTGCTTTGATACTATAACTGCCCTTGAATTTTTACTAGGTAACATTTTTGTTCGCTATGGATATTCCGTATATCGTCAAGTTATCGGAATTCCAATGGGGACTAACTGGGCACCACTTATTGCGGACCTGTTTTTGTATTGTTATGAGTTACAATTTATGACTAAAATCAACAAAAACCCATCGAAACAACATCTGATACAAAAAATTAATAACACTTTTAGATATTTGGATGATATATTGACTCTCAATAATGACGACTAAAGTATGTACACTTAAGGGATTGATCCTGCTGAACTGACTTTAAATAACGCTAATACTAACAATGAACACTGCCCTTTCCTGGATTTTGATATCTATATCTTTAACGGGAAACTTAATACCAAAATTTATGATAAAAGAGATGATTTTTCATTTTCTATTGTTTATTATCAATTTTTAGATGGTGACGTTCCCTTGTCACCATCTTATGGTGTTTATATATCTCAGCTTGTTCGATTCGCTTGTGTATGTAACAACGTATTAGATTTTAACGAAAGAAATGTCTGTATTACGGAAAAATGATTACACCAGGGTTTTCGATATCACAAACTAGTCAAAACATTTACTTAATTTTATCATCGGTACAAGGACATCATTCGTAAATATAAATCAACATGCAGACATCTTATACGTTCAGGTATTTCACATCCAATCTTGTATGGTAATGTTCTTTAGAAAGCACAAAAATGTCGGCATTCACCTCAAAAGCTAACCAAACCTTTCAACAGACTTATTCATAAGGGATATAGTTACGATACTGTTGTCAGGTCATTAAAGATGGCATATTTTGGTATAAATATTTATTCACTCATAGGGTCTTCGCATCGGAAATAAACACATTTATTCTAAAACCAGTTGTTGGCATGATACGGGTTATGTTCTTCTCATATATTTTATGATGGTATGCTACTAAACCCCTTAAGGGAGGGATTGTGCTTGATTTTAATATGATGAAGACATAATCTTTCAATCAGTCTAATTGAGGTCTGGAGCTGGCATGTCAGTAACTGCTAGTAGTCCTTTGTTAATTTATGTATCATTGTCATTTTGCTTAGTTTCTTTTGATATATGTTCTGACATCGGACTCGGACTTCTTTTCAACTGAGTTTTACTGTGCGTATTGCTGTGTGCTTGTTTTTTTCTACTTTGGTTAGAGGTATAGGGGGAGGGTTGAGATCTCACAAAACATGTTTAACCCCGCCGCATTTTTGCGCCTGTCCCAAGTCAGGAGGCTCTGGCCTATGTTAGTCTTGTATGATTTTTAATTTTAGTTCATTTATATGTTTTGGAGTTAATATGACGTCCATTCTCACTGAACTAGTACACATGTTTGTTTAGGGGCCAGCTGAAGCCCGCCTCCGGGTGCGAGATTTTCTTGCTGTGTTGACCCATTTCCATTCTTAATATTATATAGCTAATCAAAAGCAGTAATAAGGGTATCAATTTGATGACAAAAAAATAGACACAATTAAGATTTCATTCCAAATCCATAACTACAAAACATCTTCTGAAAGTGTTACTGCATCTGGAAATTTTCAGAAAATTACACCTTTCCTGCTTTATCTAAACTAATTGCTCTAAGACTTTTTAGAACAATAGAAAAGATAAAATATTTAGTTAAAATTCTATGTACATCAGGTATAATCGTCTGATATCTTCGGGGCTAACGCACCTCAGATAGGAGAAACTTACATCTAATACTTACAGTTAAAGCATGATACGACAAGTTATGGTGTGTACATACTGTTATACATAATGCACATTTTCCTATTCATCAATCATTGCAATGAGGGAAGTAAATCAACAATGTTTAATCTATAGACAAATGCAATTATGTGTATATTTGAACAAAACAAATTTACATTCTAGCTCCGGTCCATTTCGTTTTTTTTGGGGTTTTTTTTTGTGACCATTTTTCGTCTTTTTTGATTGACTAAGTGCATTACTATTTTCGCGATCTCCACCTATGAGCATAGTAAGATATCCTTCAAAGAAATAAACGTGTAACTTTATTGGCACCTTCAAATGCATGAATTTATGCATGGTAATGTACACATATGATATGAATATGTATTTGTGTAAAATTAATGACCTGCAAATTATATCATATCTGACTTAATTCATTACATTATAAACTAATCATTTCATATAAAACAACGAGCTTGAACAATGCTGTAAAAATCGGTTAATGAAACATGTTAAAAGGCTAAACCGAGCATTTCAAAAGACTATGCACAATATCGATTTAATGACCTAAATACTGGTTTTCAGAAAACATATACTATCATACAGTTATGTAAACTAAATTATAACCGGATAATAAAACACGTAATCTATCAGGAAGTCACGTATGTATAATATATTTATTACCTCTTTTATTCGATCGTATTATTTACATAAATATGCACATTACAATGTTCTATTGATTGCTATTTTGCACTTTATTATAAATAGACATATGCATTTTGTTCACGTCCTACATGTACATGTAATAATGTACTTGTTGTATTACTTATGACATTTTGACTAATTATTGTTATGGCAATGTCACCTGTCCTAGTATTAGATGAAAGCTTCTCATGGATGAGGGGCGTCAGCCCCGAAGATATGAGATGTTTACATCTGATGTACATAGAAGTGATCAATGAATATTTTATTTTTTCTCTTGTAATAAAAAGAGTAATAGGTTTTGATAAAACAGGAAAAGTGTCATCATCTCAAATTTTCCGGATGCAGTAACGCTTTCAGAAGATGTTTTGTAGTTATTGATTTGGAATGAAGTCTATTTTTCTGTTATCAAATTGATACATTATTACTGTATTATAAACATATGAATTGCTGAACTATTTTGTCTTTTTTCTGGTTTAATTGCTAAACTCTGAACTTTTTTTTTTATGATAAATGATAACACTTAGAACTATGAAAGACCGATAACAAATTAAACCTTCAAATAGTCAGCTTATGAAAAGTAGTTGGACAGCGATTGATTTCTGAAATTAGAATATCTACAGAAATTTTGGTATGCTGGATAAGGGCAGGAAAAAGGCAATTGATATATGAAAACTTCTTTAGGTATTTTTCAAATATCAACACTTTTTTAATAAGTTGTGTGCATTCGTACCGATTTACTGTATTCCATCACACGGAACGCTTAAATCTTTAAAAACGAAATTTAAGGTCGATTGCCAATGTGATTAGAATATTATACTTGACAATAATGTATACTATGAAACGGAAATGTGCAACTAAGGAAGCAATTCATTAGGCAAATTGGTTTAACAAATAAAACTTCCATGTACATGTTTTTAGATGTAAGATAATAGATCATCATGTATATATTAAAAACAATTCTACTTGCTAACCACTGGATCCATGTCTGATTTTGATATTCGTTTAAGTATAAAAAAGGGTTTACATAATAAATTAATTTCATTTAAAAAGTAATATAAATAAATTTACTCAAATGTCAGAACTATTAAAAAAAAAAAAGATAATGGAAATGATATATTTCGTGCACATGAATGTACATGTATGATAACATGTTTGATAAGCTCACATGAATTATAGATGAAAAGGTGAAAACAAAACTTAATTAGTACATTCCTTGGCTCTCGGTCATAAAACTTTACTCAGTACTCGGGAGTACAAAAGTGTGCTCGAAGCAACAAAAACACAATATTTTGATTTTGTTCACACATTGTTGTCAATATAATGGAATTTTATGAGAAAAAGAGGTTTGTCTAGCTATAAAACCAGGTTTAACCCACCAATTTCGACACAAGGAAATGCCTGTAACTAGTCAGGAATATGACAGTTGTTTTCCATTCGTTTGATGTGTTTGTGTTTGAGTTTTTGGTTTTGCCATTTGATAAGGGACGTTTTGAATTTTCCTTGAAGTTAGGTTTCTTTATTATTTTAATTTTGATAGGTTCATATCTGAGTCTGAGTACGATCAACGCGCTCAGAATTTTTATGACTGCAAGGCCTGGATTTCTATCTTAAAGTAAAATTATCATAGACATGAAAGAATTATTTCTAAAACTAAACCTGTTATTAATCAGGAGACAGTTTGATAAATATGCAGGGAGATCATGTCATATAGCGACCCCACCCAAGTGTTTTTAAAGGAGATACTGGCATTTTAGGAAGATATCCAAAAATAAATGTCACTGGATGTTCAGTAATTTCCTCTATTTTACAAAGGTCTTTCTCCATGAATTGAGCATGCTTCAAATATTTGTCCCTGGACATTACGCAATAAACAACAAAACAATAAACCGATCTTTTTCTTGTTCTGGGAATGGACGAATACCTTCACAATATGTTTGAAAAATGTTTCCTTCTTATAGACATTTAACTCCTCTGAAACTGCACGTCCTATTCTGGGTTTGAAGGCAGATAAACATTGAATAAAATTTGGCAACTACTCCACTCAAGATTAAACCTCAATGTGAATCCCTCTAATTCTCCTTTGTAATCCATATTTTGTTCGACCGTTAATAGTTTGAATTTCCATTATTTGGTTAAGATTCAAGACATCGGAAATGCTACATGACACCTACGGAGCCCTAATGGTCTCATACAGATAAAAACTTGTGGTTTTTAAAGTCCAGCGCTGTGGATATAAAGTCCTGCGCTTGAGATTTAAATTTAATTTGCAGCTTCATCGCTGCATGGACTTTACACCTACAGCGCTGGACTTTAGATTGACAGCGCAGGATTTTATATCTACAACGCTTGATTTTACATCTCCAGCGCTGGATTTTAAATCTCCAGCACTCGACTTTAGATCTACAGTGCCGGACTTTATATCTCCAGCGCATTACTTTTTATATACAGCGCTAGGCTTTACATTCCCCGCGTTTGACTTTGAAAACCCAAACTGCGAGACGAATTTATAATACCGCTATCACGACTTATACAAATCCGTGATAACAAATTTAATCTGTCGTCATACATTATAAAAACCTGTTAATCCGTGATAACGATTCTAATCCGTTATCACGACTAACAAAAATAATTGTAATGGCGAATGTTGTGCTTAATTACGAATCACAAAAAAAAACCCAACCTGTGATTACTTATTCCACTTATTTGTTATCTCGAATTGCATATGTGTCCAGTTACTCATATATCCACTTGTTTGTTTATTTATACCAATAACCATGAGAAATTGTTCAGCATTCATACTGTTTATGTCTATGAGTCAGTGTATGACCTTATGTCCATATTCTCATACAGCCACTTGTTTGTTCATACCAATAACCATGAGGAATTGTTAAGGATTGATAACTGTTAATGTCTGCAAGTCAGTATATGACCTTTCTTCAGTTTCTCATTTAGCCATTCGGTTGTTTATACCAATAACCATGAGGAATTGTTTAGCATTTATTACTGTTAATGTCTGTTAGTCAGTGTATGACCTTATGTCCAGTTACTCATATAGCCACTTGTTTGTTTTTACCAATAACCATGAGGAGATGTTCCACATTTATTAATGTTAAGGTCTGTGAGTCAGTGTATGACCTTATGTTCAGTTACTCATATAACCACTTGTTTGTTAATACCAATAACCATGAGGAATTGTTCAGCATTTATAACTGTTAATCTTTATGAGTCAGTATATGACTTTATGTCCAGTTACTTGTTTGTTTTTATTAATAACCATGTGGAATTGTTCCACATTTATTACTGTTAATGTCTGTGAGTCAGTGTATGACCTGATGTCCAGTTACCCATATAGCCACTTGTTTGTTTATACCAATAACCATAAGGAATTGTTCAGCATGTATTACTGTTAATGTCTGTGAGTCAGTGTATGACCTTATGTCCAGTAACTTAAATAGCCACTTGTTTGTTTATACCAAAAACCATGGGGAATTGTTCAGCATTTATACTGTTAATGTCTGTGAGTCAGTGTATGACCTTATGTCCAGTTACTCATAGAGCCACTTGTTTGTTTTTACCAATAACCATGAAGAGTTGTTAAGGATTGATAACTGATAATGTCTGTAAGTCAGTGTATGACCTCATGTCCAGTTACTCATATAGCCACTTGTTTGTTTATACCAATAACCATGAGGAATTGTTCAGCATTTATTACTGTTAATGTCTGCAAGTCAGTATATGACCTTTCTTAGGTTTCTCATATAGCCACTTGGTTGTTTATAATAATAACCATGAGGAATTGTTTAGCATTTATTACTGTTAATGTCTGTGAGTCAGTGTATGACCTGATGTCCAGTTACTCATATAGCCACTTGTTTGTTTATAACAATAACCATGAGGAATTGTTCAGCATTTATTACTGTTAATCTCTATGAGTCAATATATGACTGTATGTCCAGTTACTTGTTTGTTTTTATTAATAACCATGTGGAATTGTTCCACATTTATTACTGTTAATGTCTGTGAGTCAGTGTATGACCTGATGTCCAGTTACCCATATAGCCACTTGTTTGTTTATACCAATAACCATGTGGAATTGTTCAGCATTTATACTGTTAATGTCTGTGAGTCAGTGTATGACCTTATGTCCAGTTACTCATAGAGCCACTTGTTTGTTTTTACCAATAACCATGAGGAATTGTTCAGTATTTATACTGTGAATGTTTATGAGTCAGTGTATGACCTTATGTCAATATTCTCATATAGCCACTTGTTTGTTTATACCAATAACCATGTGGAATTGTTTCACATTTATTACTGTATATGTCTGTGAGTCAGTCTACGACCTGATGTCCAGTTACTCATATAGCAACTTGTTTGTTCATACCAAAAACCATGAGGAATTGTTCAGCATTTATTACTGTTAATGTCTGTGAGTCAGTGTATGACCTTAGGTCCAGTTACTTATAAAGCCAATTGTTTGTTTTTACCAATAACCATGAAGATTTCAATACTGTTAATGTCTGTAAGTCAGTGTATGACCTTATGTCCAGTTATTCATATAGCCAGTTGTTTGTTTATACCAATAACCATGATGAATTGTTCAACATTTATTACTGTCAATGGCTGTTAGTCAGTATATGATCTTTCTTCAGTTTCTCATATAGCCATTTGGTTGTTTATACCAATAACCATGATGAATTGTGAAAGATTGATGACTTTTAATGTCTGCAAGTCAGTATATGACCTTTCTTCAGTTTTTCATATAGCCACTTGGTTGTGTATACCAATAACCATGAGGAATTGTTTAGCATTTATTACTGTTAATGTCTGTATGTGAGTGTATGATCTTATGTCCCGTTACTCATATAGCCACTTGTTTGTTCATACCAATCAAATCATGAGGAATTGTTCAGAATTAATGTCAGTGAGTCATTACATGAATATGACCTGATGTCTAGTTACTCATTTAGTCACTTGTTTGTTTATGCAAATAACCATGAGGAATTGTTCAGCATTTATTACTTGATGAGCTGTGCACAGGTGGGGTTTGAAAGGTCAAATTTCTTACTCTATGTCCTGTCCAATTTACCAGCCAGTGATAGTTCAAATTTCATCCCTTTTGAGTCCTATTACAGGACCTACCTTTTGTCTGTTAATTTGTTCTTGTCTTCAAAATGCATGAACTATTTGCCACTGAACATAAAGCAACCAACAATCAATTAATCTTAAGGTTAACAGAGGTAATGCCATCATCGATGTTATAATACCTATAATTTTATGCTAAAGTTATATCTTTGTTTGCAATATTATGTAAAGTCAATAATGCTAAAATTTTATCATTTTTTCTGCAAAGCTAAAATTTTATCATAATGGAAGCTAAAATTTTATCTTAATTTATGGAAGCTAAAATTTTAGCTTTTGGTCTGAAAAGGAACCAGCTAAAATTTTAGCTCTCCTTTAAGTAACTTATTGATTCAAGCTAAACTTTTATCTTATGATTCTTTTTATTGCTTCAGGACTGATGAAGATTGTACAGCAGAATAAAAATGATTGATCATTTGGGATTATCTCTTGTCCTTGAAATATATTTAAACAAGTGCAGAGATATTTTTGCCAGAGCTTTTGTTCTTTTGCATGAATGTTCAGAAAGACGATATATATATATATATATATATATATATATATGAAAAAAGAAAAATTTGGTAAGTTTTTGAAAATTGATAAAATTATAACATTTTCAGCTAAAATTTTAGTTTTTTGCAATATTCTATAAAAAATCTACTCTTGAGAAAGTGAGACCGTCTCAAAATATAAAATCTACCTTTATTGCTAGTCTTGAAAGTCGTTTTCTGGTATTTCAGTCTAATAGACATAAAAACAAGTTTCTGCCTAAAACCACATTCTAAAGTTGAAGAATAGTAACTACAAAAACAAACGAAGATACATATATCATGCATTAGGAAAGGTCAAATGATACACATATTTTTTTCATGTTTAAAAGACATTATCGGGATGCTTAATACGTTGTCTGCTTTTATACAGTATTTGATGTAATTGCTTTTTCGTGTAAGTCCATCAATTCCGTTTAAAATTTCCAATAAATACATTTTTTTCAGAGATATTCAGCGAAAATTCTATGTAAATCAGAACTACGGAGTATGTGCTCATGATCAAGGGTGGATGCACGTCCTTGATAAAAGAAAGATGCTGTCCATATGAATGCATTGGCTCGATTTCTATGTTCCTTTATACAAAACACTTCACAGATAGAAACTGGACATGGAGAAAGTACTAAGGGAGTCATAAAGGATCTCGACATTAATACATTGTTTGCGAACGTTGTGCACTTAGTATACGTTAATATTTATGATTTTCCCGATTATTGTCAATTTAGGAAGATTATAAAGGTTGCAGTAACCTATCTTCGGATAGTTGAGAACCCGAACTGATATGGTATAGGAAATATAATATTTAAATAACCTTTATCTTACTGATATATGAACAGGAAGATACTGGACCAACTAGGGGATTGATCGCTTGATAATTGGTTGTTTTTCGTCCAGCAGCAACAAATTTCTGGAAGGGCTTACAAATAAACGCCTTCTTTTACTGTTTTTTTTTTGTTAACGCACTAACTAGAAATGTCTTAATTTACAAAGTATTCGTGAAATGATTTTTGCTATTTAATGGTTTTTAATCAGTGTGAAAACTCATCAAAGATACATGGCGTACATGTTTTTACTCAAGACGCGCGGTTCGTCTACACAAGACTCTACAGTTGCACCCGAATGAGAATAATTTGAAGGCAAAGTCAAACGCAAAGTTGAATTGCATTTAAAACCAAAAAAACAACGAAAAAGAGTTTCTAAATACGACAAAGGCACTCGGGGGATTGAAAACCTTAGTACATTTCTGTTATTCGAATTATGTTAAACTTTATAAACAGATAATTTACAGAAAATGAACATTTCAATGATAAGTTGTCAACTCCAAATTCCTGACTATTGGGCTGGTGATAAAACCCATCAAAGATATCAGGCGTACAATTACTATTTTGTAGGCACATCCTTTTCGTGTTTTTAATTTATCTAAATTTGGTTATGTTAAGGGATACTATATTAAATAAAATGAACGAGATAATTTATGTAAAAAAAATGTGTTGTAGACATGGCACAGCCAGCGGATATGATGGTTATTTCAGTCCGTGCAGACTTATCAAGAACTGATTAATAAGGACAACGTTTTGTTTTAAAAGAGTATGGCAACTGACCTGACATCACACGATATATGGAACATTATGCTTTTCTTAAATTAGATATCAATAATTCAATTAGTTTTTATTGTAAAAATATTTTTATAGACCGGTTAAAGTACCGGATCTGGCTCCTTTTAAGATAAATCTGATTTTACCTGAATTATGATAGTGTTAACAATTTTCCAATTAAAAACTTGCTACACACTATGTGTGTTTAGTTTCAATGTATTTAAATGTAACTTATGTGATCAAGCCCATGTAACTTCATTTTGTCTGGTTCGAAAGAATAAAAAAAGCATGAAATACGAATGGATGATACAAAAACTTACCCAAGGAAAAACAACAAATAATTGGCAAGAGAACAGAAAAAAAAAGGAAATAAATGATAGCTCACAAAAAAATATACAGAAAATATAAAAAAGGGTTATAGGTTTCATAATGGGTAAAAATGTAAAATGAACTGAATATCAGGTTGTCTGCATATTGATATTATAAAAGATCAGCTGCGAGATACAATTTGATCCTTTATGTCGAGTGAGCAGCAAATTTTTACAATATCAATATGAAGTCAACCAGATAACCGAATTATCGGTTTGTATTTGTAGATTTTGCATGATAAAATAAGTGTTTTCTTTGTTTCATCTGCAAACCGGAAGGTAACTTGATAAGTTCTGGGCAAACTTACTACTTCTGTGCATTCCTTATAGCGTCGGTGATATGTTCGGGTCAAATTAATCAGGCCGGGTCAACGTACTTCACGCCACAAAGCCGTGATAGCAATTTTGTTCATAGCTGCGTAGAGTGATGCGGACATTGGACGATCGATCAAGCTTTCTATCAGCCAGAGTTATTACATTTCATTTCAATAATACACGAGCCTTTAGAAGGTTTATTGTTGTTATTTAAAGTAAATAAAGAAATGTTATTTATTTGTTGCTTTGGAGGAGAATTATATGAAAATAAGAAGATATGTGTTATGACAACTATCAACCAGAGTCCAAATGATGTGTGTATAAACATCAATAAGTCAACAATGCGACCTTGAACAATGACCAAATATAAACCTATGTCAGATAAAATACAACTCGACATGAGCTTATATTACAGAAATCAAACGAAAACACTAACGGCATGATTTATGAACAAACAATAAAACAGAACATGATAGACATCTACTAACGAGAACCACTGAAGTACAGGCTCACGAATTATAGACTGATGTAAAATGTAGCGAGGTAAAATATACTGCGAGAGCTCAGTCTTTCTTCTTATCTGAGGCCATGGTGTTATAGCAAAACAGTTGAATTTGAAGGTTAAAAAACCATTAACATTAAAAACAAAAGACACGTAACTACTCCAATATTACTGAAGTGACAGTGAGGCAATTATAATTAATGAATAAATCATGTCCTAACATGTTAAAGAATCCACCAGTGCACAAACGAATTAATGAAAAGTATTACACTGTCTTTGATATTTGAAAGTTATCATTGACCTAACGAATAGCCAATGGAAATTTGGAAATTCTGTATCATATTGCGGAGAAGAGCTATTAAATTAACATATCCATCGTATTACTTGTTCATACCAAACTCTGTTCAATGTTACACAAGGAATACATAATAATGTAGAAAATAAATAATTGCCACATCCATAAGAAAAACTATGATATAGATATGACTTATAGTCTTCTGGAAGGGAACGTAATTCCTGCTGTTTGTAGTATAAACCCAGTGATATATATTCACATTGACAAATAATATCTAACTTTATTTCTAATTCCGGAACAATGTCAGCATTGTCAGCTCAGTGTAAATGTTGTGTGGTCAGTTATTCGGTATCTGTTTTTTACTACATATACAAATGTATAAATGTACATAAATGCTTTAGATGGGAAAAATAAGTCAATTGCTAAACGCATTATCGGCTGCTTTACCAGTTGTTAATGATTTTGTCTCTTCTATATTCGATGAGGTTATACGTTGCCATACGTTTTTAAATTTTATATATGTACGCGTCATTTTTCTGTTCTGACATTCAAAGGCATGCTGCTTGATGCTTTATAACGAGCATTGATCCGTTTAAAACTTGTAATGCTGTAGTACATTTTGATTTTTTGCAACTTTGTAACACATATACTTAGTAATTATTAGGTTAAAAGCAATGATTTGCAATTTGCCTATCTACTTTCCTTTTCATTTACATACTTATATTTGACTAATAAAAACACTGTGTGTCGGAAATTTAATCGGATTTTGATCACATAATATGAATATGAATGAATATCTTATTGGCATTCATGCAATGTCTTCATAATTATATGTCTACGTGTTGAAACTTGTTTGAAAAATGTGATTCATCGAAAAGAACTATCAATCCACCGTTAAACATCAATCTCAAAAGGGAATAATCTTTCTAAATTCCTCTATAAGAAAGAATAGATGATATAATTGGATGTGCTAATTTGACAAATATCTATTAAAAATGCCTATAACTCGAGATCACGACACGACGTTCGACAATTAGCAGAAAACACTTATCCCATCGGATGATTGTCGAACCAAAAATCATTCAGTTTAGTCAGCTATCAATAGTCCTGAATTAAAAAAATGTGAAATAATGTCAAGATTTAAATTTCGGATTTGATAGACACTTAGTATGCATTGTAATCGCAAATAACCTTCAATCAAATTCTATTACAAGCAACGTTTTTTTTTTTAGTTTGGTTAACGACTGCAATTCTATTAAATTGTTTTATCGACATATTAATTTTTTTTGCCATAAAGTTGTGTGCTCTTCTTGGAATTATGAATATTTTTTGACACTTCGCAACTTCATATTCAAAAGTTTGCAAAATCATTAACAACAACTATATTGACACCTTTACATGAAATATGTGCAAAACTGCAAGAAAATTGGTAAGCTTAACCTTTGGAAAGACACCAAAACCACATCTACGATCTATTTTTTTTTTTAATCTACAACAGGGAAAGATGGATATTGTGAATTACACGTAAAATCACAAATACAGTTTTTGTGTCGTTAATTTGAATTTTCACAAAAGTATAAGTGGTATCACTAGTAGCAAGATTTAAGTCTGAAACGGTCATTTTGGTCTGATCAAGTCTTAATCGCCTTGATTTACTGCTAGGGAAAAACGTTAAGACCGGTTTAGACTTTCAGACTCTGTTCCGATATATCGTGTTCAGTCAGATCAGTCGGGTCAAGATAAACAAGACAGATTCTTCTAGCGTTCAAATAAGACTTGATTAGATCACGTTCAGATAAAATAAGACCAAAGGTAAAACATCTGTTTAGTTGCTGTAAGATCGTGTTCAGTCGTGTTAAGATTTTAAATATTTTAAATAAAACGAGCGACACTTTATCTGTGTTTATCAGGGGTTACTCCCCTTTATGAATAAAATCGGCATAGCTAGGAGGATATTCTTTTGTGGTCTTTTAATGTAATACTGTATATCTATTTCATTAAATAACGTATGCAAACGTACAATTCATTTTTTCCCGATAGAATTTTTAACATTTAATTGGTTATATAAGAAAAGATTAATTGTCTTAACCGGGAAGTGTGTTAGTCATTAAAACTTTGCAGTCGTGCTTTCTGACATAAAGTAGTCCTGTATTTATTCATTCCGCCTGTAAAGATATAATGATAAGTAATATATTCCAAAGATGTTCTGAAATTTTCTTAAACATTTTTTGTTTCTAATGTAAAATAATAGTTCTGATCCATATAAAATTTGTCAAGAAAAATATATTCTAAGTATCTAATTTACTTTAAATTTTTAAATATTATATAGATGACAGTTGCTTGGTGAAAGTTATTTACATTTCAATAAACGGATTATCTAAGCAGTCAACCGAAACGGGTTGTCATAAACTATCTAAATAATTACCCATGCAACGCTTATGATGTTTTATCTATGGACGTAAAATGAATAAAGTTCCATGTTTTATCTTATATAAGGATTTACCGGGTAAAATTATTACATTGACAAATAAAACATTATTTTTTCAAAAAAAATGCAACAAGAATAAAGAATATTTTAAGAATTTAGTTGACAGTTTATATTTACCATTAGGTACCTATAAAGACCGATTTCGATACCTCTCTTGATTTTTTTTTATCATCAAGTTTTTTTTAGCAAGAACTAATACAAGAATAAATCATATAGAAAAATATCAAACAACGATTGATAAAATCTTGTGTACGGTTTATATTTCTGTTTCGTATCAGATTTTTTTTTATAACACCAGCGTTACTTCTCATTTAAAAAACAGTGAGATGCTTACTTGCTTTTTCGAAATTGACCAAAAAGCTATAGAATAACGTAGCGAAATGACTGTACTTATAGATTATACCTTTGTTTTTCCATTTTGAATTGTTTTACACTAGTCATTTTGGGGACCCTTATAGCTTGCTGTTCGGTGTGAGCCAAAGCTCCGTGTTGAGGCCGTATTTTTAATCTATAATTGTTTTATACTTTGTAACTTGGATGGAGATGATTATTTGGCACACATACCACATCTTCTTATTTATATTAACCGGGAGCAGTTTATAATATTTTCATTTCGATAAAAAGAAATATGCAATTCAGTAAATCAAATCGATTTGTACCATATTGTTACATTCAAAAGTCTTTAACTGAAGTAAATGATTGATAGAAATACATTATTTGTATTGCATCGCTCCTAAAATAATGTCCAGTGTCAAATATTACACATCGATGATCACTTAGATGTTCAACTGATTCAACCAAAAATTAAACTTAGGACTAGGATCAAATGCAATTCATTACGTTACAATTGTATTCAATATTAATATTGTTATAACATTCAGTCGAGGAAAAGACACATGTGACATTGATATGCATTGGTTTGTTCTAGCCTGATACGGCGAGCGCGTGTCGACAAAAAAGGTCATGTTAACAAGAGAACAATTGTTGTGAATCAGAGCCAAATTGACCTTTGTTCCAACTTTACTCATAAATAATGCGTGCTTGTGGACAAAAGGTCACAGACGAAAGGTCACAATTCAGTTTCTGAGACTATTTTCTTTGAAAAAGAGAAACTACTTATTTAAAAAAATATATTTTGTATGTATCTTGAACTATTGTATATATAAACCAACTCTGTAAACAAATGTATTAAATGAACAAATAATTGTTTAGTAAACAAACTATCAAAGTGGATTGGTACCTAAACAGCTTCATGGTGCTAAGAAATATTATATCATTTGCATGATTAAAATTTAATAAATCTTCATTTACCAAGGCTAATGAACAATTTCATAAACTGTAAAACAAAGTAATTTTTCAAGATATTTCTCTTACATACTTAAACAATTGTCACTTCCTGTCCTGTGACTTTTTGTCCTGTGACTTTTCAGTGTTCGCTTACTGTTAAGAATAGGACCTCCCTTACCCAGGACCTCCCTTACTAATGGAGAGAAAGCTGTCGGGACTACCAATCCTAATTGTTAGAGAGAATAAAAAGTACATCAGTCATTCTCAATTTTATATGTTTTGCGTAAAACAAAACGGTTTTAAATGTTGAATTTAAGGAATGCTCGGATTTAAAAAAATAAATCTTTTTTGTTTGCTTTTCGTTGAAATCATCCTGAATATTATGTAATATTGTACGCTGAACATTCAACGATCATGGCCAAGCATGTGTTCTTCAAAATGCAATCTGTAGAAGAAAAAACACGGTTTTAAATCATGTACATTGGAAATCAAGAATCGTGTGTCGTGTTCGACCTATAATCCTTTATTAAATAGTCGAAATTGACTATTAATATATAGTTTTGTTTTGCACCTACGTAACTCTATATATGCATGTTTTTGCCACTTTGCTTGGAAAAATTATCATATATCTTAATTCTCTTTCAATAACATTTCCTTATTCAATT